ACAATCAAAGTTGTCTCCAGGTATTGCCACATTGTTCCTCAGGAGCCAAAATGGCTCCTGGTCAAAACCCGCTGATTTGGGTCTCCTAATTCCTAAAGGTAATAATTAGTGGAATTTTATAATGGCTTTACAAGTTGTTTAATGCTGTAAAAATATGTATTATACCTAAGAGTGTTGAATTTTAAATCTTTGAGGGCAAAAATTGCTACCCTGCTAATATTTTTGGAATAAAATTATTTTTTCCTGACTTTTAATATCAGAAAAAAGGTAAAACACCTGTGTTTCTAAATTTGGTTCTTAAAGGATGACTACAGTGTACTTTGTTGTACTAGGTGTTCAAGGCATTGAAAGTAAATAGGCTGCTTTTCTTAATTCAGATTTTCAGACTGATATCTATGAAGAACTATTCGTAGAAGAGGCATCAGGATAAATTAAAAAGCAAGAAAAGGGTATATTTGCTTGATATTTGATAACGCGACTCATAGGTAATCACTTAGTGTGTTCTTATGCATGTAAATCATTTTATCCAAGAAAAATTATTAATCTGTTTTATATGTTTATATGAATACAAGACATCATTATCATCTCTGTTTCAATAGCAATTCCATGGGAGAGAATGGATACACCTAGGACCTGTGAAGTCTTACGTGAGGAAGCTGTTCCTTCAGGAACAATGAGGAATTTGTAGGATTTAAAAAAGCAAAATCATGTGCTGAGGGTCAGTGGATTCACTGGTGCTTAGCCAGCTGCCAGCCATGCTGACCACTTTTGTATCCCCACGCTGTCCTGCACATGGCTCTGAACAGCAGCTTGAAGCGCTGCTTACTAACACAGATCTGCTCCCTGCTTTGCAATCACTTGGTCCTTTAGGCTTGTGGCCTACCATTCCAAAGGCTCCCCAGGAAGTAGCAATAATGTGAGGGTCTGACTGTGTCTCTGTCACTGGGAAAGCGGTTCTGTCCCTGAAGTGCAGAGATCTGGAAAGGAGGAGAAAAAGCAGTCCCTCCAGCTCTGCAGCCTGCCCTGGGTTTTCTTCCAAACAGAAATATCTCTCATCTTACTCATTGTAGAAAATAAACATTTTTGCTATAATAATAATGATAAATACCAGGAATCATATTCAACATTAGTGGTAGACTTTTCTCATGTAATTTTATTATGTATGTATAATTAAACATCTTTAGCAGTAAGAGACTATTACCTGATCATTAAAAAAAAGATACAATAATATAAACATTTTTACATGTCAATAAAAGTAGATCTGTATCACAAGTTGAATGATTACAGAATATTTTTTGCAGAGATTTCCTTTCATTTACTAAAGAATTCTTTGCTGTTAGTTGTTGGCATTTTGTTGGTTGTTTTTTTATTTTATGCTATGGTCAGTTTTCCCAGAACGGACATTCTGAAACATCAATGTTTTCAAAGGTTTTACTACTTCCTGAACTTAAACTGTTCCTAGAAGTGAGGTTCGCTGGTTAATATACATTATTTTCAAGGATTTTTGGCATATGTCACCAAATTGTCTTCAAGAAAGGATACACCTGATTTATCCTGCTAACAGTAGTGAACAACTGTGGGAGGTTTCCTTTTAGGTTCAACTTTCATCATGCATGTATTTCTGTGAGTTCCTGACAGAAACGTAAACTCTATGGAATTAGGGCATATTTGAGAAGGGAAAAAAAAAAAATCTCAAAGAAGTTGGCTGTTCTCTGACCCTCTATGAATCATAACTGTGAGCCTTTCTTTGTACCCAGGCTTTGGTGGGGAGCAAAAGGTGTTTCCGGCCATGGATATAATGCTTGTGCTGCATGGCAAATGGTTTGCACTTTTAAATGCCTTCACTGGGTTTGATGTAGATCCAGGAGGACGTAGAGGAGTCCAATAGCTTTTCATGAAACCCAGCATGAGAAAATAATCCCCCAGCTCTGCAAAGTGGGTTTCCACAGTCGGGAGCCGTGTGAAAGGGCAGAAGGGACAGAGCATCCCTCCTCTAACCAGGCTCCAGGACTTAGTTCTCCCGAATAAGGGCTTCCGATACGCAGGGACTGGATTCTTTGTTTTGCCAGTTGTCCCTCGTCAATGCTGTGGGGAAGGATGCCTGTGCATTCAGAAGGCTGGATTTCTGCAGTGACATGCAGAACTCTCATAATTGCAGGTGCATTTTTCTGATCTGGGAAAAAAAAATCTTAGAGGTATAAATAGAAGGACATATGTACTAGAAAGTTTTCATTCCCCTTTGATAATCCTTATGAGGGAACATTGTGTAATTCAGTTCCTGCTAATCCTTGAAATACTTCGATTTTGATACAGTAGGCTCAATTAAATATTATTTAGTAATGCCACATTGCTGACATGAAGTCAGTTAGAAGTAGGCCTTATTAAAGGAACTTGTTCCCGTGTGTGTGTGTGTCTTATCTCTTTTTATTGTAGTAGAAAATGATAAAAATCTCCCATCCCCATCCAGATTAGACCAGCATACTCAAGAGAAAGCCTTAGGATCTCCCTGGTTCATTTGGTTAATACCAATTAAGATTAGGAAATTTTTTAAACTGATCATCCCAGTGGATTTTCCTTTCAAGTTTCTGAAAGAAGCAATGGTAGTAAAATAATTTTTAATATCTTTATTTTCTTTGTTAAATTATATTTTTATAATCCCTATAAAGTGAAATTGACTTTTCATATTGAGATATATTTTATGAATTTTAGGTCTCTGTGACTATGTATAAGTATTTGTGATTGACATCATGATCAGAGAATGGAATTGGTTATCACTACAAACTTTCCTCATTACCCACCTCTGCCATTAAATCCTCAGTTTTCAGAGAAGAAAACAAAATCATCAGGTGGGTTCAAGCGTATTAGTGAGGACCCAACAGTGACTCCAATAATATTTTTAAAAGCTATTAAAATCCATGCCATTTTTATAAAGGAAACTTAAAAACATTTGGTTGGCTGATATTTTTCTTTCTTAACCTTGTAAAGAGTATACATTCATTTCCATTCAGGGCTTTTGTTTAGCTTTTCTATTTCAAGCAGAATTTTTATCTAGAATTTCCAAAGGTCTAACATTGTGCTAAAATTTTGATTCAGCACTGCGGCTATTTTCTTAGTTTGATAAAGCCATTTTTCCTTTCCCAGTTCTAAAAGCAGGACTATTTTTAACAGTTTTACCAGGACCATCAAAATAGCCTTTTACAAAAACAACTTTTGGCTAAGGTAATTGCTTGTCTCTTTGCTGAGACTGAGAAACAACGCAAAATTGCCCACGTGTTAGGAAACTAAAATTGAGTATGACAAGAAGTCCAAATATTGGTGTTTTTTCCTGTTGGGCTAAATAAAGCTTTTGCTGATTCTTTAATGTTTCCTATAATATGTTAGATTCAGAGATAAACAGTTAAAAAGTATACCCTCTTGTAGTTTGATAGTTCATTTTCCGTTACTACTTACTCCAATGTAAAAAGAAATTATCAGAAATAGTTTAATTTGGGGAACATTTTCACTGACAAATGAAGCTGCGAGTTAAGGATTTTCATGTGAAGAAAAGCAATAAGACTCGGCAACAATACTCAGATGGTGGATAAGACTAAACCTAAGGAGGAGGAAGAGGATGATAGCTGGATGGATTTTAAAAGGTTTACAATGATTGCAAGAAGCTACAGGATTACTTGATATACACACAAAGGAAGTGTATGGACAGTTCTCAAAAGAGGAAATACAAGTGTCCACTAAATATATGAAAATATGCTCAGGATGATTAGTCACCAACGAAATGCAAATCCAAACCACAATGAGATCTCACTTTATCCTTATCAAAGTGGACAAAATAATCAAAATGACAGACAGTGGGACCTGCATTGTGGCATAGTACCTAAAGCTGCCACCTGCGATGCTTGCATCCCATATGGGTGATGGTTTGTATCCCAGTGCTTCCACTTTCTATCCAGCTCCCTGCTAATGGGCGTGGAAAAGTAGTGGAAGATGCCCCAAGTGTTTGGGAACCTACCAGAAATGTGGAAGAGCCATACAAAGCTCCTGGACCTGACTTTGACCTGACTCAGCCCTTTTTGTTGTAGCCATATTGGAAATGAACCAGCAAATGCAAGATACCTCTATCCTTCTCTTTGTCTCTTTCAAGTATGTATCGGCAGCTATAAAAATTTTATATATGATACATATTATATTTATGCTAAATAACATAAACTTATACTGTGGAATATAATATAATATGTATATATATATATATATATATATATCTGAGAAGAATTTATCAGGCAAGTTTTATATGGGGCAGACTCAATAGAAGCAAAACATACAATTGCACAGTTTAGTTACTGTGAAAAGAACTTATTTTGCATAAGTGATTTCTTGTGTAGAAGCTATGCCCTTGGTTATAAGATTTTCTTTACCTTAATAGTCTTTCACAGTGGTGGGTGTTGTGACACAACAGGTTAAGCCACAATTTTGGACACTGTATCCGTATCAAATTTTCAGTTTCAGTCTTTGATGCTCCGCTTTTTGTCTGGCTTCCTGCTAGTGCACATTAGAAGCAGCAACTAATGGCCCAAATACTTGAATCTGTCCCACTAATGTGGGAGAAACTGGATTTGGTATCTGGCTCCTGTCTTTGGCCTGTCCCAGAATGACCCAAGATGAACCAGTTCCAACTGCTGTAGAGTGAATCATCAAATGGAAGATCTCTGTCTCTCTTTCTCTGTCTCTTCTCCTTTTAAATAAATGAGTAGATCTGTAGAAAGAATCACTTATAGAGATTTGTGAACACAGTGGGAAAATATTGCAGAGAAAAGAGAAGTATTTGTAATAATTCTATGATACATCTTTTTCTACATCAAAGCCTCAGGAATATTTGAACAAAAACTTACTGCCCTGTGGACAACAATGTTCACGTGAAAAGTTTGTCTCAGAGGACGTTTTCATCAAGCTGTGATAATCTAGCAAATTTTTCTTCTCTATGTAAAGGAAATATCACAGTGGTGATTATATTGGTGGTGAAGTGATGTCACCTACGGCCTTTATTGTTCCATTTCTCTTCAATTGTTGGAGTGAATTCTGTCCCACGAGATTGATGGTGAGTCTCTCAATTATGGAAACTCAGGCTTTACACATTCCCAAACATAATATATAGATTCTCAAGGCGAGTGTGCTGTATCATGTAGAGAGATTTTCGACTAGAAATTCTGATTTTTACTAGACTGTGACTTGGACTTAGCTTTGTACTCTTGTACCTCCGTTTTCCGCTGTATGTTTTTTGTTGTTATTATTCAGCCAAATATTTCCTTAAATGCAATTGGCACCATCTAGTAAAAGTGAATCAAGGGTGATTTATGTAACTAATACAATACTTTCTTTATAATGATGGAAATGTTTAGTGGTGTTCCTACCTAACAGAATGAAGGTGATCTGTGGAAGGAGTCTTGAGGATTCTCATGTTCTATACAAAATAATTTAAACTGAAGCTTTGCTAAAAGAAACACTTATAATATGTCTCCTCTTTGGTGAAAATATCCAGCAGTGATCCAGTTGAAAGAGGTTCATACATCTAGATTTTGTGATTTGTAAACCTAGGTAAATAAATTTTACTTTCTGGGTAAAATTAGAGTCAGATTTTGGAATCAATTTTTGCTTCCAAGTCACAGTGACAGCTCTAGACATAAACTCACCTCTTGGATGATACAAAGAAATCTATGCTTCCAAATTTATTTATTACCAAAGAGGAGCTTATTCATGAAATAGAATCTGCCCAAATGTTTGTAACTGTGAAAAATCCTCACACCTTTATTTGGCTAGAACAACTCAAGGATCTGTAGTCACAAATTTGACTGGTGCACTTGAGATGGGGAACATAGGAGCCTACTTTATTCTAATGAAGTGAATTTCATTTTTTGTGGCGGGGGAGATTTTTAGAGTATGATTCCCTGCTTATTGAAATCTTCAAATTCCCTAGTCCATTAGGGGAAACTGCCAGTGGCAGGCAGATACTAGCTGATTGAGGTCTGTTCTGGTTTGGAGTTTGGAAAGATGCAAACAAAGCTGTACGTCAGGGATCCCAATTCAGCAGTTCAAAATGCATGCAAGGTATCATAGGCCAGCCAGGATACAAGCTGTCCTTCGAAGAAGAACTGGTTCTTTTCATATTGGTTAGCCGAGGCAAATGTTTTTGGTTATTTCCCTAAGCAGTAATGATGGTCTTAAATCATTACAAGTAGAATCAGAATTAGAGTCACTTTATGCTGACCTTGTCTCTGTAGGTTTCCTTGGCTCCCACCAAAGCGGATGTGTCTGCTTCTCTGGAAGAGTAGACATTCAGTCGTTTGGAGACGTGGATCTGGGTAGTCAAGGAGGACCTCTGTTCCTCTGTCACCTCAGCCTGCAAGGCAGTACCAGCTACATCGTGCTGGATCATAAAGGTGTTAATAGATAATTTCCATCGTCAGAGAGAACAGGCCCATGACAGAAGATGCAAATCATTGACTTCTCAATGTCCTTTCCTTTCTACTTGCACCATTCATTTCTGCTCATATACTAGTTTGATCAGAAGAAAACAGACTTAATTTCCACTGATGAAACTTGAGATTAGATATTTTACTTTGCAAAGAGAATTTAATGATCTTAGTTTTTACCCTCTAAGTCCTCATACGTGGTAAGCACTGTATTAAATATTAATTTTAGAATAATTATGGCTTTTCTCTGTACAGGTCTGAGGGAGGAGGAATCATTAAGGATTTGTTTTCCAGTGTGTAGACTATTCATGTGACTTTTTTTCCACTCTTCTTATTCTAGTTTTAAATTAATTTTTTTTCTTGGATGTTAATTTAGTCAGAAGATCACCCAGTAGCTAGGGCAATAAGGTATTTTTCTGTTAGCAGCTTTGTAAAAAGCTTTGATGGGAAATAGATAAGCTAATAAGTAAACTTAATTATTCAAATTACTTACAAGTTTTGTTTCTTCTATTTGTTAATGTGCTAGTCCCACCTAGAACTCTGCAGAATGCAAATGTAACACCATAAAAATGTACACATATGGGAAAATGTATTGATGTTGTTAGAATGGGGAAGATTGCTTGTGAGATTGAGAATGTGAGAAAAACTAGATGAAGAGGCAAGATGATCAGAAACAGAAAGAGATGAGTTTGGAAACAGAAAGAGATGAGTTTATCTCTTCAAGTTACTAACAGTTTAGCCACAGGAAAGTAAGATCTAAATACTTAAAGCCCTGATTTATTTATAATGAAGTAGAACTACAAATCCGGAGCTATATGAGAGGTTTGCTATAAAAATATGTAATCAAATGAGTGCAATCATTTTTACAACAAATTGTGAGAATGTGAATGAATGTTACTTTAATGGTACAGTAGAGAATGATGTATCCTATATAGAAACACAGAACTTCTATGAGAAACATCTTTCTGTGTCCAATTTAAATGCTGATCAGATTCCCTTAATAATGAACATTCATCCAACTCAAAGTGCAATAAATGGACCCTTCAGTTTTACACCTAACTATTCCATTAATTCTTTGAGTACATTTTTCAAGTCTTTTGACCTCCTCTGAATTATTAGGACCAGTTACCCAGTATCCCTCAGGTTCCAAGCTCCTAAGGCTCCTGCAGAGTTCTGTTAACTTCGCACTGTCCTACATGTAAATCTCAGACTGGGTTCCCCAAGACAGCAGAGCTTAGGTGAAATTGTGCATGTGAATAACTCTGGGAGAGGATCCTAGGTGGTGCTGGTGGGGGAGGAGGGTGTGAGGAGATGAGACAGGGCAGAAGTCATCCAAGAGTGCATTCGTGAGCATGTTGAAGCTGCGAGTGACTGGTTCAGTCACACTGGAGACCTGTGAGAGACTATGGAGCACGCATACACGATGCTGTCTGAGGAGAGAGTGAGTTGGCTCATTTTGTTTCTTATTTCCCTTTCTTTATTGGCAAAGGGTTATCACTGAGGCGACAACCCCCTGCCCTCTGTCCTCCCATGTACGTGGGCCAGCATGTCAGATAAAATGTGCAGTGACAAGTCAGGGTGCTTGCATAAGGAAGTCATTGGCACACAGGGAAAGAGTGAGAGCCTCTGAAGGGGTAAAGGACAAAGTCATGGCAGCATATGCTGCATTACTGCAAATGTCAGCAAGATGCATTGCTCAGATGCCTCCAGGACAAGATAGCTTCTTGTCTTCAGGCATCCAGCTGTTGATGCTTCAGGATTCATTTTAGGTTTGAAAATGAGTAATCGCTCTTTTTTGGGGAAATCCTCAGCCAGTAGCTGGGCACCAAAGTGCTGCAAAGGTCTGTTCATTTCTGCCTGAAGACCTCCATGACAGTTAGCCTTTGATCCAGAGCTCCTCCTGGCAGACACCTTCTTTGTTTTTCATTCCAACCTGAGAATTCCTAAACCCAGTCTTTGCTTATTCCTTTCTTTGCTTACTCCTACTCAGATGTTTCCACTTAGGAAAACTTTTACTATCCCAAGTCCATATTGGTGTCTGCTTCCTGCAAAACGGAATCTCTAACAAGTGTGTAATTTTTATGAAAGATTTGGAAAATAACAACCTATGGATTTAAGACAAAGAAGACTTGATCTCACATGGTTCAATAGGAAAATTGGACTCGAAGAACCCTCTTGAAGGAGGAGGGCTAGATAAGACATATCACTTGAAGTATGGAAGACAAAAGTATAGTCAGTGAAATCAGAATGGAAAACATCTGAACATTTGAAATAAATGACATATTGGCACCAGAAGGCACTTAGAGTAAATGTCTGAAGGAATTGATAATATTTCCTTCCTTAGGCAGATTTTAAAGAATGATATGTATATCCCATGGAGGCATTTGTCATTTTGAAAAGGATTATTGCAGATTACGTTTTTTTTTTTTTTAATTACAGATTGCTTTATCTTTCAAAGAAAGTAGAATCAGAACACAGTTGTGTTGGTCATTCAGTCCATACACAGATCGTTGCAGTAACATTGTAGATTCAGCAGGAGTATGTATTTAAATGCATTTAAATGTAACTACTCTTGTCTCAAGTGCTTGACTCTCTTCCACCCATGTAGGGGAGCTGGATGGAGTTCTAGGCCCCTGGCTTCAGCCTGGCCCAGTCCTGGTTGCTGTGGGCTAACGGGAGTGAAGTAGCAGGTGGAAGCTCCTTCTGTGCCTTTTTTTTCCTCCTTCTGTCTCCCTGCACTCGCATGGGAGACCCAGAAGAGGCTCCTGGCTCCTGGGTTTGGATCAGCTCAGCCTGAGAGTGAGAGCTATAGTGGGGCCTGGGTTGAGTGGCCCAGAACGCCTTTCTCAGTGGAAAGGACAGAGCAGTGGATGGCAAAGGCAGATGCACTCTGGAAGATATGGTGGCCCATTGGGGCCTGCAGGGGCATATGGTACCATACCAGAGGAAGGAGGGTGGAACAAAGTAGACAACTACCCCAACCAAGAGATGACAGCAAATATCTGAGCAAAGGGAGATTCCAAGGTCAACTATGTCAGCCAATGGACATTGAAAAGATTTCCTCTTCCTTGGATTGGTAAGACTGATAGCATTTCAGAACTATTGAAACCATTAAGCAGAACTCTCAGAACATGTTCCACATTGGGGACCCTGGGTTGATATAGGATGGCCATTCCCCATCCCGGGGTGTTGGGGCAGTTGGGAAGCTGGATGTGGCTTTTCCCCTTATCTTCCCCCTCCCATCAGGTACAGGAAGAAGCAAAATAAAATTTGGAAACCATGGTATCACCTACTTTGCCCTAATCCTCAATCCTTTCCACCCTGATCAACTATGTAAACATCATATTAAAAGAGTAAAATAATTTTGTAAGTATTACATGTAATGCTTTACATATATAAAGCTCATGCATATTCTATCAGCCATTATTATTCTTAAAATCCCTGAAAGATTTTTCTTTAATTTGAGAGGTAGGGGGAAGAGAAAGAGAGAAAATGAACAAATGTATAGAGGCAGCACTATCTATTGGTTCACTCCACAAATGGCCGCAACAGCTGGGGTCACAGCCAGGAGTATGGGATCCAATCCAGATCTCCCTTGTAGGTGGTAGGTACCCAATTGCATGAGCCA